GTCTTGAGGAAGATGCGAGACATCCACAGATTGAGCTCAGCACCTGAGCCACATGGATGCATACAGACAGAAATGCTGCCGGAGGTGGGAGATGCTGTGGCGTCCAAAAAAAAAAAAAAAAAAACCAACAAAAAACAACCCACCACCACCCCAAACCCCCCAGCCTTAAGCCTTGTAACACAATGTTCTCCCTTTCCTTCTTTCTCTTTTAGGGGCTGGTGAGTCAGGAAAAAGCACTATTGTGAAACAAATGCGAATCCTACATGTCAATGGATTTAATTCAGAGTAAGAACTACTGACACTTTGTGACTTATTTTTTCGTTAAATGTTGGAAACAGATTAGCACACCTAGGCTAGGAAATTCTGCTCTCATCCCCTGTGTTTTGGTGGCTTGACAGTGCGTTTTGGGGGAGGGAGGGGAGGAAGGGGAGCAAGAATAAGGAAATTACTGCTATTGTATATTTGCATTTTCTCCTTCTGGGCCCCTTTACTGTATTTTACACTGTTGCTACTGCAGCGCTTGACAGGCCCCTGTGTAGCAACAACATGGCGACTACTTTTTACATAGAAGCAAATAACTAAATATTGCATCTGTCTGTAATATAAAAATACATGTCAAGTCATATTCAGGATGACAGTGGCTGCTGTTTTTCCGGTATTTGGGTTAGTATAAAACTGAAACTAATTTTGCACGTTTGTTAGAAATCATTGTTTTCTGAGGCTGCATCATTTTTTCTGTGAAGAACTCTCTGCCAGAAATTATTATTAATACATAGCATTAATTTTAGATATCTGTTGGCCTTCAACTGCATATTGTTAATTTAGAGCATGTTTACAGCATACTGTAGAAATGAAAGAATGACTTCCAGTTCCATCAGGGGAGGTTTTACAGATGTGGCTATGATTGTCTGATCTAAAAAAAAAACGGGGATGAATGTGCATTGCTCTTCATACTATCCAGGAAAAGGGATAAGAGAAAAAATATATACTGTTCTTCTCAGTTATAACAGTTGAAGAGCAGATAAACAAGCGATCAGTGAGAAAAAAGTCTAATGCAACTGACTGAACTGCTTTGGAAGAAAAAAATCAAAGTGTTAATATTTCTGTTTTAATGCAGAGAAAAGAAACAGAAAATACTGGATATTCGGAAAAATGTTAAAGATGCGATTGTGGTAAGAACACACTTTATACTGTTCTTAAATGCTTGGGTATACTGGAAATGATAAGGACTGTGCTCTCTAAGATTGTGCTGAGAGAAATCCCATTTTGCTGATCAGATTGGATTATCTTCTATTGATCCTGTATCCTAGATTTATCCAGATTAATGTATTTGTTTTTGTTTTGTCCAATTCTAGACTATAGTTTCAGCTATGAGCACTTTAATACCCCCAGTTCCATTGGCCAACCCAGAAAACCAGTTTCGAATGGACTACATCAAGAGTATAGCTCCTCTTTCTGACTTTGACTATACACAGGTAAGAATAGAAACCAGTGATTTATTCTGCTTCAAGGGGGAATGTGTTGCTTCACTTTGATTTACTGAAATGGTGAGTTTTTTAGTTTTTGGAAGATGGTCTTGGGAGGAGCTTATGCCAGCATTACCACTAGGTTAACTTTCTTAGAAGAATCTGGTGGTTGCACCTTAAAGTTTTAGTGGTGCAAGGTTTTGTTGTTTATGATTTATTTGCTGTTGTTTGTAAATGCTGTTTCTGCATTTAGTTCTTGTCAAGATTTCTGGTATAATTATACATATTGACACTTCAAATAGGACTTTGTTGAAAGCTGGAATTTGATGCAGGGTGTCAGTCTGAGGAGTTACAGTATACCTACAGAAAAGGATATAAAAGGATAGAGTGGCCCCAGTGGTGTTTTCCATACTTACCGCACCTCAGAGTGGAAACTCATGTAAACGTTGGTCAAGTAAGATGGTTTGTTTCCTTATGTATTTATTGTACTTGGCATTAGCAGTGGTTTACTTGTATGTAAATGTTGCCATCTTTTAATATGGAATAATTAGACAATTAAGGATTTCTGTATAGAGGCAGCTTTTGTAGACAGATCTAAACATTTGGATTAACTTGCATAGGCATCTTATGTTTGATTATTTTAATCTATGTTATTATTTATAGGAACATACATAGGATGTTTTATGTTTTATTCATGACACGAGAGCAAGTGCATAGACATTCTGAATATTGTAACAAATTTTATATTTGGAGAAGCACAATTTTTAATGCTTTAAATGAGATCTAGAGCAATTTCTTACAGATACAGTAAGGACTAAAAAATTTTCATTCATTGGCTAAATGATTTGCAAGTTGTTCATGCTATCGGTGTTACGAAAGAAGCCATTTACAATAGAGTGTCTTTAGGTTATTATAGCTTCAGGGTGGAAGGGGGAGAAGGGGAAGAGTCGTTTCTTTATTATATGACTCATAGTCTCTGGTGTGTGGTTTTGCCTCTGGTAAACCTACCACTTTGAAGGTTCAAGATGAAAAAATATCAGACATCTTGTACAGTTAGAATTTAACACAGAATGCAGATGTTAAGAAAACGACTGCAAGGTACACCCACATATTGCATAATTGCTCAATTGGTATATGTAAGTTACTGAAAATGAGGAACTCTTTTTTGAAATAGAATGCAGGTTTGACATGAAGTATTTGTCTTATGCAGGTATGCCAGTTCTGAGGCATTTGTTGCTCATTTTATGTGGGGTTTTTTTTGCTTGAATTTTGACCCTTGTATGTTTGAGTAAAATAAACAGTGGCATGTATCCTTTGCAATTATCTGTAGTATATCTGGTTTTTTGAGTTTCTGGGGTAAAAGAAAACTGAAGTGGACTTTTCACAGGGCTGGAGATATTTTTCTTTTTTCATTTTTTACAAACTTTCTCCTTTTTCACAGAAGCTGACTGTATCTTGTCAAATTTGACTCACTGTTATTTCATAGAGGAGAACATTTATTCTTCTTGGAGGGGAAAAATATAGGACCCAGTGGACTGTGAAACAACTAAATTTCAATTCAAAGTCAATTTTGATTTAAAATAAAGACAGGAATACCTAATTTTTAATTAAGTAGGATTTCCAATAATAGCATCGTATTACTTGAAAGAGTTTCAAATTGTAGTCCTAATTTTAAAAAAAAAAGTCACAAGCTGAAAAAAAAGCAGAAAAATCTAGTGGTGGTGTAGAAGTAAACATATTTTATGTGTCATGTTCATCTTTTCCCTCCTTTTTTGTTCTCTGCTCAATTCATAGGTTTAACCTTTGTAAAACGTATAGTCTGGCTAGATATTTTCTTTTTAATTTTCATTGGTTTTTTCTCTCCAGGAAGATGTGTGAGCAAGACAGATTGAAAAAAATAAATGCTGTTGTGCTTCAGGGCTTGATTCTACTCCAGTTTACATCAATGATAACTTAAAGTAAAATTACATTTACAGCTGAAATAACTTTTGACCCATTTAGTATTTTTGGATAAAGATAAATATTTGGATAGTAATCAGCTGTGCATCCTTTGCTGAGCATTCCTGATTCTCTAATTAATAGCTGATGTATGGAATAAAGCCTTCTGAGCCAGAGAAACCAATATAGCATTTAGTAGTAGACATTCAGGACTTGCAGTTCTATCATCTGTACTTAAAAAACAGTTGTAAAGGAAAAAAACGCTGACTTAGGCAGCGCTTAGGTGTTGCCTCTGGGGTAAATTTTGGCACATTCTAAGATGTGAGGAAGGTTACCCTTCTTCCCTTGAATGAGAGAATGGGCAGTTTTAGGGGTTTTGACAATGTGGATGGTAACGAGTTGTTAAATACATAGCCCTTAGCATTGCAATATGAATTACACACATGGTACTTTTTGGATTATGTTAGCCATGCAATCTTTGTCATAAAAAGCAGTGTATTTTAGGTGAAGGTGCATTTCAAATACATTGCATGCAAAATGTAGGAAAATGACTGCACTGTATCAGAGGTCTTTAAAGAGATATCCTTGATGAAATGGAAAAACTTCATTGATGGTACAGTATGGCCCACACTCATGAGGCACTAATCTAAATATATTTGTGATGTATTGAGTGTGCTTGGATGTGCATTCTTAAATTGCACACAAATTAACTAATACACATTTAATTGTGAAAATTGTTCTTTAAAATAAGTGAATATGAAAATACTGATTTCCTGTGTGGGAAATCATGCTCTTAATTGCAATTTGTGACTGAAATTCCAGGAACTTGAGTAAGGATGGCATTCGCATTTAGACTCGGAGCTATATTTTGTGGTTTTGTTTGATTGTTTTTTTTTTAATTACACAACTCCCTACAAAATGTAAGCAGAACATCTTACTTAGTAGGGATACAAATTTGAAAACACTCATTCTTCTCTTTGCAGCCATATACCATTCCTTTAAGAGTTTGTGGAGTGCCCCCCAATAGTTTTACTTACTTTTAAAAAATTATTCTTGAATTTGGTTTAGTTACACTACCTTGATGATTTATCCAGTTGATATAAAACAAAATCAAAGGTTTCTTGATTTCTTTTATAATTTTTATGTTGCCTTTCACTACGTTTGTTAAAAAACTGTATGATTTTTACCAAAAAAATTCCTGGGTGACTAATGTGGTCTAATTCTAGAAATCATAAGATTTAAGGCTCAAGTTTCTATAAAATTCATAAATGTGAATAAGGCAAGTGTCCACTGTAGTTTCTCACTTGAAGTAATGAAAGGAGTAAAGATAAATTTTAATCTGATGGCTAGTTTAGGCGTTGTCTTTGCTCTGTATTCCAGGGTTCTAGGAATCAACAGAAGGGCTTTAAAACTTCAGCGGAAGCATGCATGCTATATCAGAAAGGATTTTTTATTATTTTTGGCATAGTGTTGACTGATATTTGCTAAAGCTAACAGGAATTGACCTGCAGCATTTTTAATCCTTTATTGATGGGGATTTATTTTGTCCTTTGTGAATCAGAGTGAACATATTAAGGGCATATTATACTGGTAGCTGTGGAAATACATGGGGCATTATGTAAGCATGTGTTTACTGAAGTTCAGTTGTCTTTATTCAAGTATTTGAATTTTGTGGGCACTACAAAGCTCCTCGGTGCATAGTTTGTTTACCCTTTGTCTTCCTCAAAAATGTAGTGAAATTGAGTTGCTTTTCATAATATATGTCTTGGATCAAGCTCATCTGATCAGTTATGGTATCTACCAGGTAGTCAGTTATCTACCACCAAACTATATAGTCAAGTGTTAGGCTAGTTAGAGCTAGTTAGCAGTGAACGTGAATCATTTGCTTAACAGAGAACATGTAAACACACAGTTTTTGGGAAGTTTTTTGTTCAGTTTTTAAAATAATTTGTAAAGCCATTTTATCAGTCAGGCAAGCTCTTTAATTTAGTTCTTAAAAGTGAAGTGTTAATGTGGGCATTGACAGGGAAACTGCTGTAGATTAATCTGGTCTGTGGTTTGCTCTGAGTTTTCAGATATTGCAGTTTGAGTTCAGTTCGATGACTAATTTTCCTCCACATTTTCTTCTTAAAAATCAGGACTTTGTATTTGTAATGTAAAGACATGAGAAAGAAAGAAAAATATTTCTGGTCAGAATTTGAAGTTACATAGATTTTTGTCATGCATTTCAAATTCTTATTAGACCTGGTATTCAAATTCGAACTTATGTTGACGCCTGGTGATGGCTGGTTTTCACAGTGGGTGTCTCAGTGTTTGAAGTAACTGGAAATCTTGCTGGAGTGAAGTGTGTCACTGGGCTGTAGAAAATCTTTATCCTAAATAAGTGCTTAAATAAAAGATTAAAAGCATTTTAAATGTGGCTCATACATGGTTAAACTTGCTTGGGTTGTGCAGCTGGTGCTGTGACTTTAATATCCTATTTGACCACAATGTGTTTTAAGTTCCCCTGTAATACGTACTAGATGTAGCCCTAAAGAGTTAGAAAATAGCATTATCATACATTTTTGATTTTCAAATAACTTGCACTATTTCCATGTTTCTCAGGAGTGTGAAAATATACTGTGTTTTACATAAAAATCTCATAAAAGAGAGGATGTGATGAATATTGCCACTGCAGTGGCTTCACTTTATTTTTCTTTCTATCTAGATTTTTACTTTAGGGCTTCCTCTACGATTTTGGGTAGAATGAGCAACCACAAGCTTTTATAATTACCTGTTATTGTGATACATAACATTACAATGTCAAGTCAAAATTAACTTTTAAAAATCAATTAGACATTTAAAAATGAGGTCATCTGCCTTTTTTGTGGTCTAAGATGCACACTAGTAGTTGTTCATTTGTTCTTATTTCACAAATGCAGAAAGGATCTGGAAGGACAGAAAATGATTGAATTGTATAGGTCCAACAACATTATTACTACCCTGAATTAATAACATTTGAAAAACTAATGAAGAAGGCTGTCAGGGAAGGGCAGCTGAAAATGCTGCGAATGCTAATGTAGTTGTTGGCA